GGGGGTTGCCTTTTCAGAAGTTTTACTCAAATATTTTATTTCCGTTCCTTCCTATATCCAATTTATGTTTGGACGACTGGGATAAGACAATTTGCCTACTAACTAACACCCCCCTCTTGCAACGCCCTTGATTAATTGACCAATTGAAAGACATTTGAAGCCAAGACGTGTTTAAACCCAGCAACGACTGATAGCAATTATCGAATTTACAATTGATTAAAGCGCAAAATAAAAACTGCAGTTCTTCTTTTGTTGCACAGGCAGGATTCGTAACGAGGCCGGACATGAGTATTTAACAATTATTCAATGAGGTTAAGCATGATATGAGGAATTGTCAAGGTCGGTGTTATCAACTGAATTCGGAGGCTGCATTCGTATTTCCACAGCATGCGGACGACATAACGTTGACATGACATTATCAACGTTATGACATGCATAGCCTCCTCCGCATGCAGGCTTCTCTATGGGTTTTAGCTTGCGAATGGAGGAGGCTAGTTATGACACTCGGCTATGCCTCGAGTTTACACGCTTTTAGTTGGCTGCCAACATTCCCCTCATGCATTATCACATCATAAACGCACGCGACTCGTTTTCTATTTTTTAAAATGCATGAGTAGTCAACTGATCAGGACATGCAGATCTGGAAACTCTGCGAAAATCTTTGTTCTATATCTTTCTGTTCCAGTCCCAGGCTCTCTCTCTATTCGCTGCTTTGATATTATTTAAATAAGTCTTAAAAGTTTTATGCCTGGGTGTGCTGTGCGGAACTCTTCAGCGAGAGAGCCTAGCAGATTTCGGTAAAATTGTCCCTGATTTCAAAAGTGGTCCCTGGCCTGGTTACCAAGCATACTGCATTTGTAAATAGAAAATGTTATGGAAATTTCCTTTGCGTTTATAATTAAGTCATTAGTTTTGCTCTAATGCTGTCGGAACAATGAAATAGGCTACGTTTCGCTACCATACGGTCAGAATGGAATAACGGGCTAAATATGACTCGTGTTTACTAAAATATAAAGCCATATTAAATGCTATCTAGAAGCTTGAAAATTATGCCGAGTCTCCGACTAAAAATGTTTTGATAACACAGTCATATTTACAATCTCCTCAATCGTTTGCTTGCATATTTGCAGTCATATACGCTATTAATTAGCCTTTCTCACGATGACGAATATCCGCCTTTTTTGGGTGTTATCTAATTCTCGTTAACCAATGCTGACAATTAAAACAATGTGAAAAGCAATTTTTCAAAATAAACTAACCATTTACAAAGCAAATATACCATGACATCATTTGAATCATTCGTCCAAAAAATTATAAAAAGTCGCTGTTATGTGGACTAATCTCTCAGACTTCGGCTGAAAAGCCACCCAAAAATGGCGCCGTGAGAAAGGCTAATTAGTTAAACCTTAGCAAAGTTCATGCATTGAATATTTTTTATAGGAATGATATATGGCTGGCCGCAAATATTTTGTTCGTTAGTTGACTTAATTGATGCTAATCAGTGAGTGCCAGCTAGTGGGATTGTGAGTATTGTTGTTACTAATAACAGTAGACAATAATGATTCAGCATCATGATTCATCATGTCATGAATTTTGAGTTTATATCAAAGAAAGAAATCAGCCAAAGACTTTCTCGAAATTTCTCTATCACACGTTCACTACAGACCAAGCCAAACGTATTTTAACCGTTTTGAGGTTCTTGCGTGACGTATACGAAGTACATTATTAATCAAGGATCGAATATATCCCTACGCCCGAATATATTGACTTTTCAGTTTTCATATGTCATCCTATAAACATGTCACATCGTTGATATAAATCTAGTTCGTGATCGCTGCTTCGACTAGTTCGTCACCGAAATACATCAAAGACAAAGTCTGCCGTACTTAGTTTCAGAAGAAGTTTATAAAAGAAGCAAAGATCGATAATTGTCATGGTAATTTTATGTCGTAATTAAAATATAAAAATGCAAAGTTGTCTAGGTCCGGTTATAAGCAAGCTCTTGCCAACGAAACGTAAGAGTAGATCAAAGGTGAGGGGGAAGAGATCTGCAGTAACAATTATGGTAAAAATTGTCGTATTAGGAGCCTGTGGTGTGGGGAAAACGAATATTATTCGTCGATATGTTCACAACGAGTTTCTTGCAGACCACCAGCCGACTACAGAGGACGTCTATGAGAAATACTTTAGCTTTAAGCGAAAGAATGAATCTATATTATTTAACATTTACGACACGGCTGGATCAGATCAATTTCCAGCCATGAAAAGACTGGCTATTAGCAACGGACAGGCGTTTGTGGTTTTATACGCAATTGACAATAGGGCTTCGTTTGAAGAGGCGAAGAAAATTTGTGCTGAAGTATTTGAACTGAAGTCTGGAGAGGTAAAATCAATAATGATGGTCGGAAATAAATGTGACCTACCAAGTTCACAACAGACAGTAAGCACAGAAGAAGCATCTTTAACGGCAAAACAGTTAAAATGTAAATTTACAGAAAGTTCTGCGAAACTTGGTATAAATGTTGAGAAAATATTTCGTGAGTCGCTGGCCGAATTTTGACATGATTATTTGGCTCACTGGTTATTGGCATATTAAGTATGTGACACTTGAAGTCATGTGCTCATGCGATATCTAAATATCATATGACGAAAAATCACCGGCCAAGTCAAACAAAGAACTTGACCTGTGTGGACATGTCGTCCCAGAAAACGGAATAAACAAAGTGAAAATACATAAATAATAATATGTGAACTAACTATATTTCCCTATCATGAATGTTGATAAACCAAATGAAAAATAATTAATTATGAATGGTTATAATATCAATATTCCTGCTGCGATAATGACAATATTGATCAAAGTGCATGAACTGGATTTTTTGTACATGCTGTGCTTTGATGCTTTCTCTTACAACTAACCACATAATGTTTTGAATATATCCAGGTGGGTTTCACTAAGCACTACTGTGAAAGCCGATGATGGTCAACCCGCCGCAATTACCGAGTGATAAATAATGTCAATTATTTTCATTCAGTATGGCCTTTCTTTTGTGGCACTGGCAAATGAACTGAAATATAGCCGAAATATTTTGTGTAATTTATTTCCGCATATCAGAATAAGGGTGAACACTTTACTGTTGACCACCTATATATAAGTCAATAGAGTCAGAGAACTAACTAAGAAACTTCAGTTAATTTTGTTTCAATGAATGTATAGTAAATTAAGTAAATGAATAATATTAATTGCGATATTGTTGGCAATAATAAACGAAATTCAAAAAATTGAAACCTATGTGTTTTGTGTCAGTCTACGATTGTCCATATAGGTATAGTAAGTTTTTTTTGATCGATATCCGTCTAAAATTTATATTATTTTTGAACGTGACATGTTTTATTTACTTGTTCACACTTGTTGAAAAGCTGTCATGCCAACTTGAGTTGAATAGAGAGTAGCCATTTCAAACGTGGGGGGTCCAGTGTAGGTACAAGATGTCGTGGTTTAATTGTTTGAACTGAATTTGAAATAATAAAAAAATGCTTTAACGTTTTGTTACGGGAACCACTGAGTATTTTAATGAAATACAAAACAACGGCCTACGAAAATGAACATTTTAATATTGTTTAGATTTCGACTAAGTTTTAGTCACGTGCACTCATGAATTATTGCTTTTAAATTTTATATCCATTCGGCATTCGTGACATTTTAAATCTGAATTTACAATTCACGGAGTTAAACTGAGCATCAAAGACAAACTACCTCATAACTTATACACATAATATTATAATGTCTTATATAGACTTATATCGACTGATTAAATATTTTAAGCGACCACCATCAAAATTACAACTCGGCTATCTTCAAAATAGCTACAGCGAAACTGCTGTGAACTTTTAAGAAGACCTTAAGAAATGCTGATTCGAACCGTGGTATATTTTAGTGTAAATAGCATATGCATATATACTGCAAGATATGACGCCGCAAAACTCTTGTATTGGGAGATTATATTTGAAGACATAGGCCTACAAATTTTCATGTCTTCTGCAATGATAACACATTCAAGAAATGTAAGTTTGCTTCCATTCTGTACATATCAATCTCGTTCCCCGAACCCGCGATCCCTTGGGAATCATAGTAATAGAAAAGTGAGAAAAAAAGCCCAACCTTCACTACCTAATTTATTGTGGATAAGGAATATATTATTATTATCATTATTAGCTATTATATTTACATTTAGCCAGGATAACCACATCACCGTAGTGCTTTCAGTGGGGTCCTGCATTGAATCAGTGGATAAAGAATAAGAGAAAGTTGAAGAAAACTAGAGTAAGAAAGATTTGAAGACAGAGGATATAGAGAGGTCTTCACATATGTACAGTGCGTCTTTTTAATAATGCCTTAAAGTTAATTACGGATAGGGATTAGAGATTCAGCATTTTAAAGTTCTGGTTGAAGGTTATTATTAACGTCTACGGAAGCTTGGTAAACAGGTCGATGTGTTTCCCTTTGTTTGTCTTTGTTCTTGCTAGGTGTAGATCGCCGCTTGTGTAGTGGTTATGAATGCTTTCGTTCTTCGTTAAGTCACGTTTTTTATTAATCTTCACAATCAAGTTGTCTATAGGCCTCTATATGCTCTTACCAAGATAAATGTTGACTAAGAGTTATTCCAAGATATTTAATTGATGTTGCCTGACTGCCTGTAGTAGTGTATAGTACTCGGTTACATTATGAAGCGACGTTGACTGTTTTCTGCAAATAAAGATCATATAAACTTCGTTTTCTCGCAGTTCAAAGTAAGGAGGTTGTTGTTCAGCCAGTTGGATAAAGACTGTAAGTCGTCGTTAATTTCAATTCAGCTTGAAGTTCCGCTGCTGTTCTCGCGCGTAGAATTGAATACAGTAAAGTATCATCAGCATACAAAATTAATTTACAGTGATTCAGACAGTTAGGCAAGTCATTAAAGTAGAGGTCCGAGAATACTTCCTTGCGGCACACCTACGGTCACTGGTTTCGGAGTTGATGTGGAGTTGTTGATGCATGGTGTAACTGATGTTCGTCACGACGAATATGATGTAAACCACTTCAGGACAGAAGTTGAAAATCCGAGATTTCTTAATTTCGTAAGGTGTGATATACTGTGTCGAAAGCCTTTTGTAAGTCTATAAAAACCGCACCGGTAATCAATTTGATGTCCAGATTAACAAAGATTTCCTCAGTAAGTCGTGTTCAAAGGCAACGCGTTCGTA